CACCGGGTTAGTGAATATTGCTAAACGATGCATCAGCAAATTTACAGGCGAGAAATGTTTGTTTTTTAGTTTTACCTGGCTTACAAACAAAATGAAAGAGATGTTAAACTTAGGGCTAGTACGGGTACTCGGGTACTCGAATCCGGGTAGGGTACAGCTGGAATCGAGTCCTATTTCTGGGAATCGAGTTCCAGAAAGGGAGAGAACTCTGTAATGACAAGGGCAGATAATAACTTGTCTTTTTCATTATTGACGTAGCACACATTTACGTCATTGATACTGTCCGATTAATGGAGGTTATTATTAACGACTGTAATTTATCTGCGCATGAGCAGTGAGTAGTCAAGTTACAGTAACAGCAGGAACGAAAAGTTTTGTGTTTTAAGGAGGAATGTAAATCATGGTGTTACTCTTTATACAGGTTAAACAGACGTATATAGCTTGAGATCATTTTAATGTCTTATTGCCAGCCTTTCAAGTTTTCTATAATAATCTCTGTCAAATCGTAATTGAATATTCAGAAAGTTGACAGAAGCACTGTATTCCTTACATTTCCGGGTACTCGATTCCGATTCGGGTAAGTACATGCGGGTCCAGGTCAGAATACTGATCTTCAGTAACCCATGCTTGTCGTAAGACTAAGAGGCGACTAACGGGATCGGGTGGTCATGCTGGCTGACTTGGTTGACACATGTCATCGGTTCCCAATTGTGCAGATCGATGCTCATGCTGTTGATCACTGGATTGTCTGGTCCAGACTCGATTATTTACAGTCCGCCGCCATAAAGCTGGAATATTGCTGAGTGCGGCGTAATACTCAACTCACTCACTCACTTGAACGTCGTGACGGAATATGATGGCAATACACTGGTGCTATAAATCCGTATTTTTATGACTGCAGGATGTACAGGTCAGTTGGCCTTAAAACAATAAAAAAAACCCCATCAACTGAACATACAATATATTCTGGATTAGGTTTTGCTGTACCGGTTCATTGTGCCATCAAAATCTATGAGAATAAAAAGTTGACGCCAAATTCGGAATTGTTACAAACAAAGCACATTAAACTACTTAGTTTAAGTGTTAGTTTCTGGACAGCTGAATGATAGCTGGCTGAAATGAGATAACTGATTTAACATATCCATAACGATGTGTACCACGTGCTTTAGATTGCAATCTTGTTTTCTGCAATAATGCAACAGATTGCATCTTTATCACGGTGAGGTCAGGACCTTGAATGGCGATATCTTTCACCGATACAACACACTTACGTCATCAGATGACGAGCACGAGCAGACAGGAGGCCCAAGATGACTTGCACATCCCGAACACGCGAGCCGCATGCGTAGTAGAGCGGATAACAGACCAAAATAGGCATCGTTCACTTTGTGGTGTATTATACTTGCACCAAAATTGGAATGCAAATAACGTTGTCCACTCACAAAATCCAAGATGGCCGCCATTTTTCAAAATGGTGTCGTGCTTCGACAGTTGATGTTGTCGGCGGCGGTGGAGACGCTGTCCGTTCTTTAAACTTTTTATTTGTTTAGTTCATCTCTAAATGGCTGGGTGGGTTCAGTTGAAAGTTTATGTCTTTGTTTGTTTCTGTGTCGGGGTCCATATGGAATCCCAGAAGGGACATTGTCGCAGTTTCCCGTACCATGCAAAGACAGGATAAAAGTGTCAAACTTAACAAAAGCGCGACAATTCAACAACGCCACAATTTCCAAGGTATAAAAATATGCATTTCTCCCCATCTAACGTGTGTTTAAAAAAGCACTAAAATGCCCCGCTGTCGCATGTTGACGTTAATTTGTATTCTTTGTTGACAATGTGACACTGTCACGTGCAGGACTCCATAGGTTCAAATTTATTCAAAGTATCAAAACCACAGTATGCCCGCAAGCCGTAAAGGACCAGAGACCTGAAAACTGGTGAATGAGATGTTCGTCGTATGTTTGAGGCTCCACATTTATCCGTTCCAATTTTCGCGATATGCCTAATTTTTACCTAACATATTCTTCTCACGATACAAATCCTCGCTGTGTCAACCTTTACTCGTCACTACCTGTCGGTGAGCTGGAATTTCACGTTTGTTGTCCCGTCATGATGGCACTGTTTCTCAAGAGTGAGTGAGTTTTAGCAATATTCCAGCAATATCAAGGCGGGGACACCAGAAATGGGCTTCACACATTGTACCCATGTGGGGAATCGAACCCAGGTCTTCGGCGTGACGAGCGAACGTTTTAACCACTAGGCTATCCCACCGTTTCTCAGGAGGTTCAAACCAGAAGCAGACACATTGCCAGCCACTCATTTATGAAATTACTCAGTCATCGTTGTTCAACATTTAATGAACTTTAGTATAGTTAGTAGTGGGGCTCGACGCCTGTGCTCTCCCTACCCCAAGTTATGTTTAAAGTTCTGAGACCGCCTCCATTGTGTAGTGGTTAGAGCGTCCGCCCGGAGAGAGGAAGGTCGCGGGTTCGATCCCCGGCTGCGTCATACCAAAAGACGTTAAAATATGGTACTTGTTGGTCCCTGCCTGGCGCTCGGCATTAATGGGTACAACAAGGACTGGTCGGCTCGGAGTCAGTATAATTTGTCTGAGTGGGGTATTCATGCTTCACTGCGGCATGGTATCTCATTGGGCTAGCACTATAAAACCAGCTTCAGTCTGGGCTAGTACAAGCAGCTGCACATACACATACACACGCATGCACGTCGTCATATGAGCGAAATATTCTCAAGCACGACGTTAAACCCAATTTCACCTCACCTCACCTCACCTTTAAAGTTCTGACCTTGCTGTGATCGTTGTATTATGAACGTGATTTTCGTGTGCGGCATTTCATTTGACATTTGCACAAATCATTAACGCAGTCTTACATATCGTTCTACCCGACAAATATTCCTACATGCTTAGTCTACGTGTTTAAACCTGGTGTTTGTCAACAATATTTGTATTTGAATATGACAGTGACAATTAGTGTGTGTGTCATAACGTGCTGCATTGTGATGTGATAACACACAGCAATGACTGTGCAGTTAGACAAGCATGTGATGGACAGGGCTACATTGTGACAGCATGATAGCTGGATTCGTAAACAAGTCAGCAGATATCAGGACACCACAAACTAAATATAACACGTGTTACCGTTGTACTACTAGTATCTGTAGTTTGCTTCTAAGCTACATAGTATGTCAACTACAGTACTGTCGGAAAATAGAAAAAACCTGTATTTTCTCATTTATCTCTACAATTTATGTAGTTGATATGTGCAAGTGTGAAATATCTGTTAAACTAAGTTCGGCCTAACTACAGTCTCAGTGGTAGGGACATAGGAAACGTAGAAAAGGGACTTTACTGAGGAGAGATTAGTGCAGAAATGAGCAATGCGGTTTTTTTCTAAGTCCAAAACGATTTATTTGGAACAGACCATGGCTTTATGCAAATTAGTGTGCGACGATATTGTATTACAAAGGACACTTTATAAATGCCCTATTTGAAATTAGACGTAGCTTCATTATAAACGATACCTGGCGAAAAAATTAATAACTTTTATGCTGAAACTATTAAGGATGTAGCTATCATGGAGTCTTACTGTTACTATAAAAAGAAACAGATAGGAGGGTTCGTCTCAAAAGCAAAACCTGGACGGGTGTCGCAGACGATCGTTGGGGTCGGGCTGGGGGATAGAGATATCAGCTAAGATAAGATAATCCTTTAGGGCAATTATACTGGGGAAGTACATATCATAACAATTTACAAATAATATCCAATCCTGGCGATCTCGCGATCGGGTGGTCATGCCACCTATATATTTTGAGACATTTATACGATGCGTTTCTATGGTTATCAGGTATCATACTCTTTTACATATCTCGACATAAACTTCATGAAAGGAAGACACGTAAACTGTTAATCAATAGATGAGGCATAGTCAACACACATGAAAAAGCACAAAATATCTTTGAGATGACCCCTTGTGCCTGTAGGCAGCACATGCATTTCATGCCAGGTGAGTCGACGGTCTGTCGTCATACCTGGCTGAGCGACCTAATTGCCATCTATAGTCTGATCTATTGTTTTTTGCAGCTATTCGTATTTTTCTTAAGTTTTGCCCGATTTTACGAGTAAACATGCTTTTCTGGATATCCTATTACGCATCCCACTGAATGCCCAGTTAGGCCGATGTGGGTTATTTCGACATATGCTATATGCAGTTGTGTAAATTTTAGAGATACAGAGTAACAGCCTAAAAACATTTTTTTCTATTTCCGACAGTACTTTAATACACTGACGCTTAGTCTCTGAATATATATAATTTTGATAGTAACAAAAAAACAAATTAAAATTGAAAATGAGCCCGGGTGAGATTGGAGATTCGAACCTGAGGGAATCTAGACTTGTTTCATTTAGGGCTTTGAGCATTGCCGGGAGGACTAGGCAGTAGGGAAAACAATCTGGTTCAGGGACTATGAGACAGACTAGTCAACTACATGAATGTTTTCATGGATAGTTGCTGCATTTTCTTATTAATAGTTGAAGTTGTTTTCAAAAGCGGCTAAATCTCCCTCATTATTTTCATATTATATTAGTTAATGTCTTTTCATGTAAAAATATTACTTTATTTTGTTTCCACAGATAACATTAGGCACTAAGAAAGTAAAAAATGCTAATGTGGGCGAAATATATGCTTTATCCTTGGAATTTTCTCTTTGGAAATATAGTCAGATCACTAGCTTAGGATATATTCAATATAACAGTAAGACCCGTTCCAGTCTGAACCCATTTATGTGCTGCTCTAGCATATCAAGGCTTAAATACCTCGAGGCTTTCCTCATAGAATTATTTATAATTTACCTTATTCATAACTTTTTTCTGTGACTATATTTTGGGGTTTTTGGTGTTTCTCTCTCCAGTCGTGCCGAGATAAGCAATCCGCTTGTCACCGGTTATTCCCGAATTAGCCCGAGCCTTTCCGAATGCTGCTTATCATTTCCGGGTCCTTTTCAGCTCACATGGCTGACTCGGATGGGTTTATTGTGGTTAAGAAGGGTAAAGGTAGGCGACCAAGGCCAAACAGAGACTGTGTGTCAAGTTCAACAGAGGTGTTTGATCGCAATAAAAGTGATCACGATATCGACTTGGGAAGAGTGAAAGAAAAGATACATTTGTTGAGGTGAGGTTCGGATTGAGAAACTGAGGCCAGTGAGCTCACTTGACAGTTTACATATTTGCGCATCTTACCTTTAGTGTTTTATGAAGTGGATCGCTACTGATTCATTGTTACAAATATATCTATGTTGACGTGGTCATGAGCAGGCAACGTTGCGGGATATGTAGCGTTAATTGGCTCAGACTGCATTGCTTCAGTGGTTTCACGGTACACATGCTTGTATGTTCGTTGGGGTGAGGTGAGGTGAGGTCAAATTGGGTTTAACGTCGTACTTGAAAATATTTCGCTCATATGACGACGTGCATGCGTGTGTATGTGTATGTGCGGCTGCTTGTACTAGCCCAGACTGAAGCTGGTTTTATAGTGCTAGCCCACTGAGATACCATGCCGTGAAGCATGCAGTGAAGCATGAATACCCCACTCAGACACAGTATACTGACTCCGAGCCGACCAGCCCTTGTTGTACCCATTAATGCCGAGCGCCAGACAGGGACCAACAAGTACCATATTTTAACGTCTTTTGGTATGACTCAGTCGGGAATCGAACCTGTGACCTTCCGCTCTCTGAGCGGACGCTCTAACCACTACACCACGGAGGCGGTCTTGTTGGGGTTAGTTGTGGTAGGGTAAATGTAGGTTACACCCACCTCTATCCATATCGCTTGGATTTAAGGTAAGACTTCCGCCTGTATCCCGCCTAAATTTTAACGATGAGGAAAAATTTATTTGAGTGACATTTTTAGAAGATGGATGTGTCTTTCAGTATGTTCAGATAGAAACATGTTAAAACTCGTCCTTATGATGATTAATATATATTCAGGTGATATGATTTGACTAGAATGAAATTTAACTAATTTAAGGGGGATATCCTTTATCAAATAATTCAGCGTAATTTCAGGAAAATCTGTTTATCAAATTTTGAGTTTTATGGAGAACGTAGCTTATTAACATTCTGATATAGTGGAATAGTTTGTGCTGATCACTTCATTTATTATTTGTAATAAAGGACGGGGGGTCCTTGTGTGGCCTGTTTATTTTGATCTGGCTGATTAAAGGAACTAATTAGTTTAGTGTCTCGCTGGCAATGTGAGTTTTCTTATTTCAAGTGGTACTTATTGAAAATATAAGGCTTGTAATTTAGGCGTAACTTTATCTAAACAAAATGATTGATGTTTGTTTCAGAGATGAATTGAAGTGCAGTGAGTTCTACACCAATGTTCTAGGTAAGGCCGTTTCTACTGTAGTTGGTTTCCTTACCAAATTTAGAGAACGAATAATAAAAGTATTTCTAACAGGTCATGGAGAATGTATGTGACAAAGTAAACTTTTGATAGGGTGGGTAGTTATAACGCTGTATGCAGTACGAACATTAGGACTCAGTGTCACTGTTTGCAATGATAAATGTTCCCAGTACCCTGTCATAATCGTGATAAGTCCAAGCAATACCAGGATTCTGTTTTTAACACTTAACAGACTTTTTCTGCCAAAGTTTGGTGTTCTAATTTTTTGCATAGTAGCCATGGTGACAGCATGGAAAACCTCATGAATAGGTTTTAGGTTTTTTTCACGATTTTGAGTTTGCTACGTTTTCAGATCAGTTGAAACAGTGTTGTTTGACTGTTTACCAAGAGAGAAAAAAGCAGGATTCTGAAAGTCGGTGTGATGCTGATCTGGAGGATGTTGAAAGAGATGTGGCTGGGCTCTGTCTCAATGACCCTCCCAAAAACACGACCCTCCCTCCAGACATGGAGTGTATTTGTTACGGCGTGGGCAACATCTCCGGAAACATCATTGCACAGTATCAGCTGGGTCTCGTCATGGCGCTGAGGGAGGACTTCAAGGTAGGCAGGGAGTAGATCAAGTCACCCGTCACACATACCATTTAGCATACCAGTATCAGCTTGGTCTCGTCATGGCACTTAGGGAGGACTTCAAGGTAGGCATGGAGTACAGTTAAGTAAACTTAGGCTCAGTATTATTCGTTAACTGCTATACTGAGTCTAACAAACCCTAGTAGAAGGTCACATCAGCTAACGTTCTGAATTGACCAATCAGAACACAGTTTACCAAATCGTGAAAGTTAACATTTGCACGTACTGTTTGAACTTTTTCCTCAAAAACTTGAATGATTCCGAATGCTATTTTTCACATGATTGCTTCCAAGTAATATACATGGAGGACACCATTATTCACAGTCACTGAAAATAGGTTTTTGTCAATATTCCAGGATATCATTGTGTGGAAATATAATTTAATAGTAGCCATGTCATCAGAAAACCCTAAGTGTATATACTGCAGGTAAAATATCTGTGTTTCATGCAGACTTTCATTTGTTGAGAGATCAGTGTCAGCGACCAAGGAAGATAAATTCCAAAAATTCTTTTGTAAAAGTCACGTCGAACCCTAAATAGTAGCCGTTGTCTGATTGCTTAAATCCGTTCCGCTGTCTCCCGTTTGATTGGGCGACCATTGGTCACTCAAATGTTAGCTGATGTGACTTTCTACTAGGGTTTGTTAGACTCAGTATAGCAGTGTAACGAATAATACTGAGCCTAAGTTTACCTAGACTGGCTGGGAGTAGATCAAGTCACCAGGCACATATGCCATTCAGCGTGACACTCAACATGTTCAGCTCAACCATACCAGTCATGGCATGCATGTTTTCTGGTGATATGGAATCAGGTCTCAACTATCCATTCATGTTACTCTTCTGTATAGGATCGACTTCAATATGTGTCCACTCTGTTGTAAGACAGACAGAAACCAGTAGACATTGCTGTCGCCTAATTTGCTATAGGTTTATGCAAGCATAAATGTAAAAAAATTGCTTGTTCAGCCAATGAAAAGCCATAGAATGATTAAAAAATTAATTTATATGCAGGGATAGAAATACCTTTTTTTCTAAGTGTGCCTTAGGGCACCAGACAAATATCTTAGGTGTGCCTTCAGAAATGAAGTGTGTCCACATGTTTTGAGAATATATGACAATGATGATGATCATTTGAAATTTATTGTTAAACTAAAGAAATGGGTTTATGAGCATTCAAATATGTATGGTATTATTCAGTTTGGAAAAAAATAATTGTTTTAGGGATTAAATGACTAAAGGTGAGTTATGTTTTCAAAAAATTAGGCGTGTCAAAAGGGCACCGAGAACATTTTTTAGCCGTGCCATTTCAATATTTACCGTACCATGGCACACTAATACATGGGGTATTTCGAACCATGATATATCTTTCAAAATGTAGCTGAAGTTTCTCAGATCCTTCTTAAAGTTAAAAACAGATTTTTTTTTCACTTTCTGATAAGAAGTCTCCTGTTTCTTGTGATCATGTATTGCCGTCACTTAGAAGAATTTAAAGAAGTGATGCATTTATTTCATTGGTTTGATATCAAATAAAGGAATGTATCCAGTCATAGTCACTGACAGTAAGTGACATTAGTGTTGATGAACTTAGTGTTGAGGGGTTGTGGGTTGGTGCTCACTTGGTTTATTTCCACAATATTGTAGCTGGACCAAGACAGGTGCTTCATGTTTGATCCAGTCTTCACTGAGGGAGAGAAGCAGACCCTTCGAGATCTTCACTTCAGTATTATTCCTGTAAACGAGGTGAGTATGGTTGGGCGAACCATAGCTGTGGAGAAAATCAGTTTTGATTGGTCAATAAGAGGCTTCCATTCCCATGAATATGCTTTAGATTTTTTTATTGCTCAAAAATAGAGGCTTGTACAAAGCGTCCTTAGTGCTATGGAATTGTATGTGTCCGAGGTGTACACACAAAACTCACATTCTTTTTAAAACACTATTTTAGAATTAGTTAATATCAATGTCTGAAAGTATACCCTAATTTTTCTCCAATTGAAAGTGAGAATTTCTGAACATGTTATGAGGCCTTTGTTTTGGGACTAAACAAGCCAGGGTTACCCCCCTTTGATTTAGACAAAAATGGTGCAAATTTAACGGTCATGTCTGAATGTAACAGATTTCCAGTACCAAGGGTATGAACCAAACAGCTGTCTCTGAGTCAGTATACCTTGTCTGAGTAGGGCACATGTTGACAACAGGTCATACATTGTGACCATCCAATCCTCATATTAGATGCTTCCTTGCAAGTTACAAAGAAATCAAAACAATCCATTGGCCACAGTGTTGACAGGGTTGTCTTCTATTAATTAGCAAATGCAAGCTGCTTGGGTTATGAACACATTTGAATGATATTTCGTATTATCCCCCGCAACGCATTTTACGGGGGGTATTAAAATGGACTCCGTCCGTGCGTGCGTGCGTCCTTCCGTATGTCCGTGCACATTTGTCTTTTCCGGAGCAGAACTCTAAAACCGTTCAATATTTCTTCACCAAACTTGGCACATAGATAGATCTGGTGGTGTACTGGTGCCTTTTGGTAGTTTTGGAATTCTGAATAAAACATTTTGGCGTTTCCATGGCAACAAGTTCGACTTACAATGAAATTAGTGGTAGTGCTCTTTTCCGGAGCAGAACTCTAAAACCATTCCATATTTCTTCACCAAACTTGGCACATAGATAGATCTGGTGGTGTACTGGTGCCTTTTGGTAGTTTTGGAATTCTGAATAAAATATTTTTGGCGTTTCCGTGGCAACAAGTTTGACTTAGCCTGAAATTGGTGGTGGTACACATTTCCGGCGCTGAACTCTAAAACCGTTCACTATTTCTTCACCAAACTTGGCACATAGATAGATCTGGTGGTGTACTGGTGCCTTTTAGTAGTTTTGGAATTCTGAATAAAATATTTTTGGCGTTTCCATGGCAACAAGTTTTACTTAGCCTGAAATTGGTGGTAGTGCTCTTTTCCGGAGCAGAACTCTAAAACCGTTCACTATTTCTTCACCAAACTTGGCACATAGATAGATCTGGTGGTGTACTGGTGCCTTTTAGTAGTTTTGGATTTCTGAATAAAATATTTTTGGCATTTCCATTGCAACAAGTTTGACATAGACTGAAATTGGTGATAGTGCTTCTTTCTGGAGCAGAACTTTAAAAACCTTTCAATACTCTACTTCCACTTTTCTATATACACACCTAAATATTTGACATAATCAAATAATCGTAGACATAATCATGAAGAGTATTTTGCCATTGCAGGGGATATTGATGACTTTGTCTTCTTGTAGAAACCAGTGTTTAAAACTCCCAAAATTCCAAGCCAGACAGCCAGACTGGTAACTTAAAAAAATTACCAGTCCGGATACAAACTTGCCTGTCCGGTTTTCAACAATTAAGAAAAAAAAAAAAATCAGGTTTCTGAATACTTTACTGTTTGTTAGCATCGCAATGAACGACATAGCACCAACAGGCAATGCACCGAGTTTAGGTAAACTGAAAGTACATGTGTTGTGATTGGTTATTGTAAAATGAACTGTCCAATCATTAATAGTTTAACATAATTATCATAATACCTTAAACACCTCAAACTGACGACACGAGAACCTGTCTGATATTATGAAATATTTACTGATAGGGGTAAAAACATCTACCAGACCACCGGACAGGCTACTTTTGAAATTTGACCGTCCAAGATGAAAATAGACCGTTACGAACGGTCAGGCAGGCGGGAATTTTAAACGCAATAGAAACATATCATTAGTTTTGGGTTTTTATTTGGCTTGTTTATTTTCATAGTTCAATAACGCACTCGGTAATATTTCAGCCGTAAGATGGCGGTTTGTAATACTGAGTCTGGGCCTGACAGTCCGGCGATTCACAACATGTACTTTTTGAAATTGAACAGGATTGTTAGTTAAGCAGGATCATCGAAACGATCAGGGCCCTTATTCTCGGAATGTTCGTAGCCTTAAGAATTCTTAACTTTGGTCGTAGCCAATGTGTTGAGAATGGGCTTAAGAAGTTTGAACGTTTAGAGAATAGATAGCTTGGGCCTAGATTTTCGAAGCTCTCTTAGCGCTAAGATAGTCGTAAGTGCCGTACATTAACATTAACTTACGACTATCTTAGCGTTAAGAGAGCTTCGAAAATCTAGGCCCTGGGCTTCTGATACCCGTGTAGAACACATTTCACACATTCAAGAACACATAATCCACATGCACCAATGTTAAACTTTGTCTAGTATATTGTGAGCATGTTTGGTGAGGTGTTGTGTTGATTGTAGGAAGGCAAGAGGCGCTGTCCTAGGCCAGCATTGTTCTTTCTCCCGCACTGTGGCAAGGCGTTCTACAACAACCTTTTGTGGTGCAACTGGCAGCCACAGACGCTCTGCAACATCGTCATCATCGGAAACAGCTTCAAGGCCATGGTTGAAAGGTGACAGTTGATGTAACAATAGTACAAGATCTTATAGTCCATCAGCCTTACTTCTTTTCATGACTAAATTCACCTTGAGTATGTCTGTGTGCATGTGTTTGGTTGTACACATGAAGAATTTGATTTAATGAGAATGAGGATTAAATGATGATCTTAAACACTGTACTTAACTTTTATTTGGTTGTAACATGCATAAAGGAAAGGGTTAACATTGTCCCAGTAGCAGCCAAGAGTTATCTCCCTTACATTGTGATATCAACATAGTTTGTGTCGTGGAAGGCTGTTGATTTTCAGACTCACAAAGCTCCTGACATATTTTTCATCCTGTTTCAGGACTCCTGAGCGACTTTTAAAAGAAACTGGATTATATATAATGAAGGTACTTGATAATGAAATATTCAGAATATATACATGAAATTCTTTTCTAGTATGACAACTTCAGGTAGAACATAATGGAGAAATAATGCCGACAAATTCAAGTGATTTTTCTGATTTCAACAATGTTATGCGGTTAAAATATAATTTGTCTATAATTTTGTGTAATAATTTATCATTGTCTAAGTTTTAATTTTTAATTTTTGTTCAGAATCACGAGTGATTTCCTGTTTCTGACTCAACTGCTGCAACAATAGTGTGATGTTATCATGTTTCAGTTCAAAAGAATGTTAATATCTGTGGAAAATATCTTATTGCGACATTCAAATGTCCAGTAAATGTCAAGGAAATAGTAATTATGACTTAAAATTTCTAATGGTTCTTGTTCTACTCAACCGGTTAAGATCTGGGTTAGAATTTGTCTTCAGTAACCCATGCTTGTTGTAAGAGGCGACTAACGGGATCAGATGGTCAGACTCGCTGACTTGGTTGACACACGTCATCGTATCCCAGTTGTGTAGATCGATGCTCCTACTGTTGATAACTGGATTGTCTGGTCCAGACTCGATTATTTACAGACCGCCACCATATAGCTGGAATATTGCTGAAATCAGTGTAAAACTAAAGTTACTCCCATTTGGAATTTTGTTCCTCAGAAAATATTTTCTTTCAGATTCAGGAGTACACAGCTGAGATCCCTGTAAGTCAAGCCTTTCATCACAGCGACGTCTTCAACGACATGGCCATCCACTACTTCCCTCTCCATCGGCTGACCACTGCTCCCAGGGAATTGTGGGAGGCCCATGATGCACCTGTGTACAGCCAACATGATGCAGAGATAATACTTAGCTGATTCAAATGTCTGATGAGCAATTTATGAACTTGAACTCCATGGTGATTCCATGTTTGAACTGGCTATCAACCTCAGGTTTTCATGGCCTCAACCTGATAAATCATGTGATCATCCATGGGATTTACCCAATGAATCATGTTATCAACCTCAGGTTTTCCTAATCCGTGAATATCCGGGTTAGAATTGATCTTCAGTAACCCATGCTTGTCTAAGAGGCGACTAACTGGGGCTGGCTGGTCAGGCTCATTGACTTGGTTGACATATGTCATCGTATTCCAACTGCGTAGTTCGATGCTCATGCTGCTGATCACTGGATTGTCTGGTCCAGATTCAGTTATTTACAGACCGCCACCATACAGCTGGAATATTGCTGAGAGCAGCGTAAAATTAAACTCACTCAGGTTTTCCTGGCCCAGACTCAATGAATCATGTTATCAACCTAAGGTTTTCCTCGCCTTGTATTAATGAATCATGTTATTAACCTCAGGTTTTCATTGCCCCAAATTTCCAGCGTTGTACACATGGGTACAATGTGTGAAGCCTATTTGTGTTGTCCCCCGCCGTGATGTTGCTGGAATATTGCTAATCATGTAAAAACCAAACTAAGTCAGTCCAGCTTGTTGTGATCCTGGCAGTATGAGCTTAAGACCACCATCAGGTTTAGATTTTTGAATTTCTTAAGCTAAGATAGTGAAGTGCCATATATTGGCATTAACTTAAGGCTATCTTAGCTTAAAAGCTTCAAAATCTAGGCCAGGTCGTTCACATCTCAGCCTTGATATAAAGAAAGACAAAGAAAACACAGTACAGGTTTAGGGTCTGTATTTACTCCATCAGCTCAGCACAAGTCGGTGTTGTGTCCAGTGAGATGTGTTTAAAACAATGAACAGTGTCCACATCACTTACAAGCAGGAAAATCTTAGCTTCATGCTCAACCTCGAAGTAAGTACCACATCATATCAGAAATGTTTCAACATGGCCAGACCAATTTAACTTCTTATTTTACAGACCAGTTTTCTCTAAATGTTTCAAAAGAAAAATAATAAAACTAAAAATGTTTGACTTGAAATCTGCATAACCTTGAAATATTTAATATTTCATCAGTTTATCAAGAATGTTATTTCTCTGGCATTAAAGTATATGCCTATGAGTGAGTGAGTTGAGTTTTATGCCGCTTTTAGCATTATTCCAGCAATGTCGCGGTCCGGGACACCAGAAATGATATGCAAGAAACAAGAACTTAAATTGGACTGGCATTATCAAAATGTATGCTTAGAGACATTAAAATATAAAGTAATCAAACCGGGTTAAACATGATGACATTATTCCTTAAAAAGTAGAACAAGCATACATACATAAGTGACATGATACAGTGATGAACTTGGAGAACACGGCTTTGGTCAGATACATCGGATTATCTGTATTTGTGCAGAATGATGGTCACAGTCAATGGAGGAGTTCGATAAAACATTCGTTGTTGTTGAATTCTGCCCATGGCAATGATCCAGCTGATTGACAGCTTCTTCATAGATCTAGACCAGACACTCCAGTGACTGATACCGTGAGTGACGATCTGTGCGTCAACCCTATCACCGAGTCCAACCACCTAGTCCATTTACTCGTCTTAAGCTTTGGTTACTAGGGACCTTTCCTTACCCAGAATCTCCACAGGATTTTTGTGCGACAAATATCAGCAAGATCAAGTGTGATGTCATTCTGCATCCACCCTGCATTTGAGTTAAGAAGTTTTAACATTTACTTAACAGCCCAGTCTCCACATCTAACTACGAAATCACACGCTCAGCAGTGACTCTGCATCTGCACCAGCTTCTGTCACTGTCCAAGAAAATGGCTCATTTGGCCTTTCATTGCTGAAACTTTTCAACTGACTGAAAAGACAAATAACATTTTGATTCACGACACATTTTTGCTAAAGAACAAACTTGAATTTTAAAGGCTGTTCCAGTTTCTTAAAAATAGATTTGATTTTCTAATCATTCATAACATTTTGTTGAAATTACTTAGTTACCCAGTATTTCTGCTCTATTTAACATGCATTCAAAATCCACATACTCTTCCAAAAATTATAACTGATTGAAATCCATGTAATCCTCCAAAAATATACATCTTTATTTCCTGAACACAAAATGGAAACGACAAGCTAATACTACTCTTGGGCCATAGCCTTGCTCATACTTAGATTTTGAAAATACCATGTTTCTTTCAGTGTGGACCAAGATGTACATCTGATAATACCAGACATCATTTCTACTGTAATAGTATCCAGAATGTTGTTGTTGTTGTTGTTGTTGTTGTTGTTAAGAAGAAGGGATGACTCAGGGTAGCTTGATCGACAATCAGTTCTTTCACACAGGGAAACGCACAACACTCCAAGACTGAAGAATGGTTTACAGAATACGTACGATCAGACTGATATTAACCTCACAGCCATACATTAGAAGACTAAGTTGTGTCCACGGCAGACTAAACTTCCATGGTTCTTTATAACCTTTTCCTTTTAAAGTGAGTGACATGGTTGGGTTAACAGAGGTTCAAGCAGTATTCCTGTTGTCACCTCTTGTGTGATCCGTGATGCACTTTCAGATGTTTACCAACTCAGACCATGGGTATGGTGTAGTGTTGGGAATTGGCTGAAATCTCACAATTGATGATTGGTTCAATACCAACGACCAATCATCGAAAAAGAATTGGTTAGCGTCATTTTTTAGATTTTCCTATTCAGATTGTAGTTGCAGATAAGTATAAAGAAAAAACACTTGGTTTTCTGGGTTTTTTTTAGAAACTGCACAAATTACATTTGCAGATTTCACACCCAGTGTAAAATGATTCAGTTCCAGTGTAACATTAACTTCCCAGATTCTTCAAGAAATATTCAGTCATGACTTTTCAGAAAGTGAAGTGAGTTTTCTTAGAAATAAACAGGTTTTCAGGCCCTGACAACGTCCTAGATATGTTCCATCATCAAGTATTTCAAACTCAATTACAGAGGTTCCAAAATCGTTTGTGTTTGATTATGAGAAAATGTGATCGATTGCTTGGTCGTTTGGCCACTGCGACCAATCTTCGATTATTTCAATTAATCGTCCCACCACTAGTATGGTGTGACAAACCTACAAAACATACTAATGATACATGGGATGATTTGAACCAGTGATCATGGTCATTGTTTTCTAGCATATCCAAGGGAAGCAACTCTGCATAGCAAACTGTGGCACCTGAGACAATGGCCACCCATACCCCTTGACTAATTAAAGCCCTGAGAATGCATATATCTACATGAAACTTCAGCGCTGATAAGAATTCTTCCTGAACCAGAAAAGCATCATCTAGGAATAGAACTAGTGATAAAATGTTGGTTTCACCTCTCTTTAGAAACTCAACCATGACATAAATCTTAAAAGAATATGCCTCATACTAACTGACAAAGGAATACTGATCATATTTGTTGATAAATTCTGTGCAAAGTGACAAAAATGATGCAGCAATGACTTGAATTCAACTGGTGTAAGATAAAACAATGGTGTAACAGGGAGTATTTTATGTCATTCAAAAGCTCTCTCAGTAACCATGGTAACAGTTCAGGTATATGACACTGGACCATAAACAACTGAGTCTGGACCAGACAATCCTGTGATTGATACGGTGAGCAACAATCATGCCAACAGGGTTGTCCTGACCCCAACCATTCATTCATCTCATGCAATAAGCACCAGCTGCTCACTGCTTACACTCTTACCCAGAGTCTCCACAGGGAAAAGATGTAAGAAAATAAATGAAGTTAAAATATGTATCCCATTCATAAGCTTTGAATCAATATCTGTTAAAGAACAGGAATTTCAAGTTCTGATTAAAGCAGTTACATTGTAAAATGTAGGCATGAAAAGCAATCACAATGTCAATATATACACAAAGAACTTAGTTAAGCACCCCCTGACATATCTCACTATTGAATGAGCCCGGATCTTAACCCTTTGGAGCATATCTGGGACATGATTGGTTGCCGTGTGCAACAAAGGGATCCTCCTGCACAGAACCTGGCCCAGTTGGAAGCTGCTTTACACGAGGGATGGCGTAGACTGCCCTGTCAGAGGATCAGGAGGCTGACAGGGGGTATGAGGAGGAGAGTGCTGGCTGTCATACAGTCACATGGAGTTTACACTCGGTATTGACCTTGAATCATGTAAGACACGCAAAATGACATTTTAAATGTTCACATTCACCAATATATCCAACATTAAACATTCCAGGGCCATACTTGTACAGATATGGTTTTGTATGTAAATCAGTAAAAAAAAATTAAAATGAGCAATTATCATCATAAAATCAACATGGATTCCAATCATTTTGTTGTTTTTCATGAGTGAAAGGATCATTCAGGTCCGAGAAACTCAAGTTTTTCCATCGTGGTCACCACGAGAAGTTTTATGTACGTGTTGAAAACATATCATTGCAAAAATACAGCAGGTGCTTAAGTTCTTTGTGTATAGTTGTTATCAATAAGAACTCTCATCTCTGAATGATCAAAGTTCAGGAAGACTGTTGACTTATAAGCAGATTATAAGGACTCATCCATACGTCCACACGATCCACGCAATATAAATAAAATGAATTCCCAAACACTACCTCACCTCTCACATATTGCACACATTCATTGTTCAAACATACCAGAGGTGTATTGTAGACACAGAATAAAACCATTGCTTGACATATATTTTCCAAACTTTCTTAATTACCTAATTGACAGCTGTACACTGATTCAACAAACAATAAACTCTTACAGAACAAGTAACATTAATATTAACTGCGGCATAAGGTTTCCATTCGCGTGGCAAACAATTAAAAAAGGATACCCAATATAAAATAAATGTTTTTCAATAGTACAATATAAACCCTTTTAGAATTACAAAGACACAAAGATGATTTTCAGTGTTGCTCCTTGCCAGCACTGTGTATTCACATAAGCAATATTATGGCTAAAATATCTCAGTATCTGCATATTCACAAAAATTCTTAAGTTACACAACACATAAATGTAATCTTTAGGCCAGACCAATTTTATTTCTTGTTTCACGGATCCGACGGTCATATTTTTTCATGAATAAGAAAAAAATAATAATAATAATAATTTTCCCCACTCAAAATATAAAATCCTAATGTTAATGTGATATAAGTGAAATACTCTTGAAATCAGTGAAACCTAAACTCACTCAACTTATTTTTAGTTATAGACAAACCAAAAGAGCTAACATGGAAACACTCCTGTGGGTTTTGCTTTGACTGGTGATTATATGTATTTTTTGTCACTCCTGCATTTAGGCTTTCTGAGGACAAAAATCCGTAAAACAAGAAATAAAATTGTTCTGGCCTTAGTAAAAAAAAAAATGAATGGAAACTCATGAAAATGTTCATGAGCGACGTTGACCTGAATAACCTGCACGACCTTGACATTGTAAAAGTGGCCTTGATCAAATGCTCTCTGATATATAGACCATCAATATTAGGGTTGAGAAAACTTGCCCTCATTAAAACACACACAAAGTGATAAGGATTCAGATAAAACATAACGTTTTGATCATGGAAATACAAAAAAAATACTGTCAGGTGTGACTGTAAGTTTTAAAGGAAATCATCTGCTATTCTGCATATCAAGCTACATAGGTGTGGGTGTGGATGTTGAGGGGGGAGCGGTACAATGACACCTGTGGTGCATACAGTGCCACCCTATTAGGTCTCGTCACCTTATGGAGTGTGACACCACCCTTTAGGCTACAATGATGTAGTATGAGATAAGGAAACACCTAGTGTTACTATGGGAACCTGCAGATTGTTACTAAACATGTCATTCTACTGTGACACCCCAAGGGATACATGAGATCCTTTGGGCTACAATGACACGCTCCAAGGAATGTGATGACACCCTTTAGGCTACAATGACACCACAAGGGATGTGACAACAGCCTTTATGCTACAATGACACCACAAGGGATGTGACAACAGCCTTTAGGCTACAATGGCACACCAAGGCATATGACAACAACCTTAACACCCACATTAACACCCAATGTCAAAGGATGACATCCTACACTAACAAAAGGGTATTAAGAAATATTCTGGGCAGTGGTGGACAACCATTTCTCCAAAATCTAGTTATGTAATACTAAGTGGTTTTCTGAAAAATAGCCGACTAGTTCAACAATATATTCTAGGTCCTGCAGGGAAGTAGGATGTTGTGTGATCTATGAAGCCACCTTTTAGGCTCTACTACAACATACCTACCAGGAAACAATGACACCCATTGACATAGATTCACTATGGGTTAGGCCACAATAAATTAATATAGATTCCATCCAAATTTCCCCAAAAATGACACAGGCAGCATTTGTTTTTAATATTTTATTTTGTTCATATTCAGCAAATTCTTGAAGGTATCCCTGTTGACAGATTTGATTAACTTAACGCATGAATGTTAGGTGGGAGTTCATCAAGTGTAGAAAAAATGGAATATATTGGGCTGCAAGGTACAAGCAGGATATACCAAACTTTTTCTGTGTTCAAATAGATTGGGTAAAGGAATATTTTGTTGGTATCATATAACCAAAAATCTACACAGCAATTTGTTCACAAATGATGTTTACCTTTGGAATCGATTGAGAATACAACAGAAGTGAAGTTTCTCCCATATTGTTATCTCCCCTGTTTCCATGACAACAAAATGGCTGATTACTTTATGTTTAGTATGTAGAAAATCACATCTGCACATAAAACTACTGTCAATTATTGTCACTTATATAGCTCCCAATATATTGCATTACACAATTCAAAATCCTGTGGCCCAATAAATTGCCATACAATGGTCTTGCCAACTGACGCCTGGTAGCAAATATTATGAAGGTAGTAAACACAATGATGTGAGGCAGTGTTTGGTAGTGAGAAAGGTGTGGATGAGAATCTAACAGTTAATTTATTATGGCCTTAAGATGACACTTAATGGGTGCAATGACAGTTTAGAAGCCAGGTGAGCATCCTTGGCTGCCGCTGATCCCATCCAGTCAGAAGCTTCTCTTTCTTCAGTTAATACATATATCTAATGACATGGCTATACTGAGACCTGAAGTATCTAAGGACATACAAACACATTTGGCACAGTATTTAACACACAACCATCAGCATCTTCAGTTGGGTTCCAAGCTTGACGGGGAGGACACTACAACACATCATGTGACTGTGTGAGCTGGCACAGCACCGGTTCCAGTGTCTTGTGCCCTATGGCAGTAGTCATTAGTGAGTCCCCCACTATACTCCACTTCCAACGGTGACCCTGTGAGGGTGGAGAAACTTCGCAGACTCAACCATGTTTGACTTGGGTTGGTATCTTTACCGACTGTATCCTTTTCAGACTTGGGCTACAGATTTGGGTAACATACCACTTCTACCAGGGCTGGTATCTTCACTGGCTGTATCCTTTTCAAACTTGGGCTTTAGATTTGGTTACACACTCCTTCTACAGGGCTGGTATCTTCACCATATGTATCCGTATCAGACTTTGGATACAGATTTGGGTAACACACCACTTCTGCCAGGGTTGGTATCTAACCGACTGTATCCTTTTCAAACTTGGGCTTTAGATTGGGTAACACACCACTTCTGCCACGGCTGGTATCTTCACCGACTGTATCCTTTTCACTTGGGCTTTAGATTGGGTAACACACTCCTTCTACAGGGTTGAAATCTTAACCGACTGTATCCTTTTCAAACTTGGGCTTTAGATTGGGTAACACACTCTTTCTACAGGGTTGGAATCTTCACCAACTGTATCCTTTTCAAACTTGGGCTTTAGATTGGGTAACACACTCTTTCTACAGGGTTAGAATCTTCACCGACTGTATCCTTTTCATACTTGGGCTTTAGATTGGGTAACACACTCTTTCTACAGGGTTAGAATCTTCACCGACTGTATCCTTTTCATACTTTAGATTGTATCAGGGTTAGAGTCTTCACCGACTGTATCCTTTTCAAACTTGGGCTTTAGATTGGGTTAGAATCTTCACACATCCTTTTCAAACTTGGGCTAACACAGGGTTGGAATCTTCACCGACTGTATCCTTTTCAAACTTGGGCTTTAGATTGGGTAACACACTCTTTCTACAGGGTTAGAATCTTGGAAAACTTGGGCTTTAGATTTCACCTTTTCAAACTTGGGCTTTAGATTGGGTAACACACTGTTGGAATCTTCCTGTTTCAAACTTGGGCTTTAGATTGGGTAACACACCACTTCTACAGGGCTGGTATCTTCACCGACTGTATCCTTTTCAAACTTGGGCTTTAGATTGGGTAACACACTCCTTCTACCAGGGCTGGTATCTTCACCGACTGCATCCTTTTCAAACTTGGGCTTTAGATTGGGTAACACACCACTTCTACAGGGCTGGTATCTTCACCGACTGTATCCATGTTGGACTTTCCATTACATACAACTCCTACTTGGTCAGTATTTCCACAGACTGCATCCAGACAGCATCAAATCCAATCCAGTATGAGAATAAACAATCCGACACCCTAACCATTCACTTCACCGAACTCACTGAATTCTGAGTATGTGTTAATTAATTATAGAGAGGAAAGGTGTAGGGCAAAGGGCTGTATCACAGAACGCTGTTACACACTGAAGCGGACATGTTCTAGTCAGAAACAATTCCCCGTTTATCCGAGGCATCTGTAGTGGTACAGTGGCACCACATTTGGAGAATTGTGCGCAGGCAACAATGCAGAGGTGAGACTGGCAATCCAGTCAGCGAGTGATCCAGGAATCCGATTCCTGTTTCATGCACACCGAGATGCAGGAACGATGGGGCTGTAAAACATGTTAACATGACATCCACTGACAACACCAGGAGAGTCAACTCTACAGTAATAGTATGAGGTATGGGTCACATCCACATCCATTGTTCAACCGTGAGCAGCTAGGGAGTACTTTTGATGAATTCTCCATAGAAATTGAACAATTCTAAGCACAACATGTCATTAAAGTTTCACATCATTCTTCCAGTCATCTCGTAGAGAATGCTCGAACAGAGCTGCTCGGTTTTGGTTATCTCCCTTTTTAACCCAGTGTCCATACATTCCAAATGCACATCCATCTATCAGCTTCCGGAACAATTTGACGCTGTACGGGTTAGTTGTCACCACATCCAATGATATAGGGGGTGGGTTTTCGTAAAAATGCCTTAAACGGAAGAAGAATCTTGTGCACAAGATTGCAGCCTGAAAAACAGAAGTTGAACACACATTAGTTTTGTTTCTTAAATTAACACCGCAGTCAGCAATATTACAGCTCTATAATGGTGGCAGATCAATATTGTGAAAACCCATCACTGTTTGGGGTATGATGACAAACTTTGCTTTGACTGCAATTTGACAAAATCTTGTCTCCAAACAGAGGAAGCCACCAAGGTAAACGTGACAATGAAATTTGGTTGGTAATTGTATTCCAAAAGCATTGTACTGAATGTCTTAACAACATCTTAAATTTGGATCAGTATGTTTCTTTTTGAAACAAATTTTATTATTTCAGTGTCTCTATAGTCCAAGTCATCTTTTACCATTGTCAGCGTAAAAAACACTTATCATTCTGAAGTGTGTTTGTCGGTATCAGCACGAAAACCAAATTCAAGAAAATTCAAATCTATGGCCAAAACAGTATTTACACATTTGTTTAAAACTAGACTGACTCCCAAAACTCAGATAAACAAAAATAACCTCATTTGTTAACATAATTTTCTGTTGGCTCAGGGCCTTAAGCTGAACAAGCAGCATTATTCCGTGAAATTCTCACCCTGAATGTTCTTCTAGCATGGAACTTCTTCACAGGACCAAACTGGAGAAAAACCAAAAACAGGCAAATGAGTATCAGTAACATGAATTTATATTTTAAACTACTTGAGTTTATTTCATCTTAAATTACTGAGAAAAAGTTATGACAGAAGAAAAGTTGGTAAACCACCTTCAGGTAATAATGACAAAAGGAAAACTTAACAATCCACAAGTCTCACCTCTCTCTTGAAGAATGGATGTGCTAGAGTTTCCTTTGCAGTGAACCGCTGTGACGGATTCACCACCAGCAGCTTGGAGATCTACAAAACACAATAATATAATCAACCACACCCCTAGACAGATGGGTCTACCTACTTGTAGCTTCTCGTCAAAGAGAGTGATTTGAGTTTAGTTTTATGCCACTTTTAGCAATATTGCATCAATATCACAGCAAAAGCAGCGCAACTCACCAGTTCTTTAGGAGGTTCTGTGATGTCGTCCCACTCGGGGCTGTTGAAGTGGTAGTTACCCTGCATGATAGCTCGCAACATCATCATCTGCTTCCGATGCCAGAACGGCGGAGATCCACACAGCCTGGGGACATAGCACAACTAGTTACATCCTGTGTATAACGAGTTGTATCTTCTGTACAACTAAGTTCACATTCTTTTCAGAAGTAATAACACCTTATGCCCAACTATTTGATTTGCATGTTAGACGTTGGTGAGAAAAAATACTAGGGCTGCAACGATTTGGTTCCATTCATCGAAAATCGAACCTGACACCTTAGTTTCGATTTTCGATAACCATTATCTCTATTTCGATTCGCTATTTGAGTGCTGTTCTGTGTTTAAACATCATCTTTCATTTGTTTGAAAAAGGTTTTATCATTTACATTCCTGATTCCCTAGTCAAATCTTGGAAAAGGGTTTCAGTGTGATATGTTTTGCTTAATAAACTCTGAGAGTTAAATGAAATCTGATGTTTTTACTTGTATGAAAAATCGAATCAAAATGATTGAATCGAGGGTCCAATATCGAAAATCGAATCGAATCAAGGTCTGGGTGAATTGTTGCAGCCCTAAAAAATACAGGCAAGGTACTTTATGGATCACAACCTCTTTATTATATCATAAAGCGACATTTCCTTGTAGATTCTTAAACTGTTAGAAGAAGTTGTCACCCATACAATATCTTTTCTTTACTGTTACACCCAAGTTGTTTCACCTCATGTAGAACTAGTTACATCTTTTGTACAGCTAGTTACACTATATGCATAACTGGCTACAACTATAGTCTGTTTGCAGTGAAAATATACTGGTGAATTTCACTTAAAACAAAAAAGTAAATCGAATAAAGTGAAATTAAGATAGCAAATCCTCATAATTTTACCTTGCCAACTGAACATTTAAATCTCAGAATTAAGATACACTTTCTTTTACAAACGATCATAAATTGAAATCGCTATTATTGGTTTGTATTACAAGGGGGTATGTGCATTAAATGAAATACTGAGAACAAGTAGGGTTGCACTAAGTTCACGCTCATCACGTACCGCACATGCATTTGTTTCACTGTTCCAACTACTGCGTTTACCCCCTTGTTCATCAAATAAACGAACTGAGGTACACTGTTTGAAGACACCGCAGGGTTCAGCGTGCCAGCTGGGTTTATCCCAATTTGAAAAGCATTTTAGTTACTCCCTGTTGACCTGATGTGGGAGAAAAGCCCTAAGTGATACACGTGAGTGAGTGAGTGAGTTTTGTTTTACCCCACTTTTAGCAATATTCCAGCAGTATCATGGTGGGGGACACCAGAAATGGGCTTCACATATTGTACCCATGTGGGGAATCGAACCTGGGTCTTCAGTGTAACCAATGAACGCTTTAACCACTAGGCTACCCCACTGCCCCAAAGTGATACAGGTCTGAAACAGGTACGGTGCTAACATCCACGATGCATTATTGATGTTTAATGGGATTCAAACCAATGATTATATGCATCTACAGGGCTCGATTTAGTGCTTTGTTACGTGCACTGGTGCAACCCAATATTACAAAGTGCAACCTAGATATCTGTCTAACTTGCACCAGGTGCAACTCGATTTTTGAATGGGTAAAAACTGAATAAAACATCTAAATAATTTCATATTTCTTACATTAAATATTGCAATAAAAGCAGTACAACTGGAATTTGGCTGGTGCAACTAGATTTTTTATCTTAGGTTGCACCTGGTGCAAGTAGGTTAACATCTCTTAAATAGAGCCCTGATCTAGCACATCAGTCATGCCGATCTGCTCCATCAATCGCAGTGATGGTGAAGAGCAAGGTACTTACAGTGTATACATGATGACTCCACATGCCCACCTGTAACAAGACAAAGTACAGGTGTTATTACTGGATACAAACAACTCTCTGACTACTGACAGTCAAGGAATAAGTGACCTGTTAGACAGGGACGGATACAGCTTTTTGTAGAAAGGGGGGAGCATACTATTGAGAAAAGGGAGGGTGCACAGGTCATTTTCACTGGTGAGTTTCAATGGTCATTTAAGAAACTTTCAGGACAAAGGCCTGCACACACCCCACCCCACCCTTCTGGATCTGCCTATGATACATTCTGCTGCTCAACAGGACTGCTATAGCACTCAGGTTTTACACCACTTTTAGCAATATTCCAGCAATATCATGGCAGGGGACTCCAGAAATGGGCTTCACACATTGTCCCCCAAATTAGGAATCGAACTCGGGTCTTCGTTGTGACAAGCGAACACTTTAACCACTAGGCTACCACACCAACCGAATAATAATGAACTATTGTGCACACCGTTCTTCTACACAACATTTTTTCAATTCAAGCGAACACTTTAACCACTAGGCTACCACACCAACCGAAGAATAACGTTAACGAGGGTTGGTTATGAGATTACTGTCCATCAAACTTTCCAGACCTGTAACTACCATGTAAGACTTCTCTGACTGATGATCAGATAAACTCTGTGCATGTCACATCACCTTTCTCATTAGCCTATCAGCATCAAGGCTTCAAAATTCGGAGTTTTTGAAATATAACATGTGTGAGTCAATAACGGTTCCAGTGAGCAATGTAGTTAATTGCTTAAAATAACAGAGAAAATTTAAAATAATGGAGAAGACTGTGCTCACAATTTCATCAAACTATCCCCTAAAATATACATGTTCAGTCTATATCACAGATCAATGTCTGAGAGCCATGGCATCAGCCCCTAGAGGTGAACAGTCCAGGAAATAGTCATGTTCTGTGAGGGTATTCCTTTGTAGGATCAAAATTTGAAACAGGTGCTGCAAAAATTACACTGAATGTTTTCTTGAAAGAAGACAAGAATGCATGGATCCTCCATTTAGACTTTGCAGTAAAAGTTACTATTCATCTGTTCAGACTTTCGAAAGGAGAAAATTTCAGACATTAACACAGATATATCAAACTAGAGCAAATGCCGGACTTCATGAAATGGACAAGGTTAGTAACACTGTTCAAGACTTACATGTCTACTTCCTTGCCGTACCCTGGCACGTTGTCGTACATGGACACTGAGAGAACCTCCGGTGCCAGGTAGCCAGGGGTACCACACAACTCTGAAACAGACGAGTAGGTCAGTCACAACAGAGGACACAGCCATTGATGACTCCCCATGGACACCAGACATTCATGACTCTCCATGGCAACCAGACATTCACGACTCTCCATGGACACCAGACATTCAGGACTCTCCATGGACATCAGACATTCATGACTCTCCATGGACATCAGACATTCAGGACTCTCCATGGACACCAGACATTCACGACTCTCCATGGACACCAGACATTCACGACTCTCCATGGAAACCAGACATTCACGACTCTCCATGGACACCAGACATTCAGGACTCTCCATAGACATCAGACATTCAGGACTCTCCATGGACATCAGACATTCAGGACTCTCCACGGACACCAGACATTCACGACTCTCCACGGACACCAGACATTCACGACTCTCCATGGACATCAGACATTCAGGACTCTCCATAGACATCAGACATTCAGGACTCTCCACGGACACCAGACATTCACGACTCTCCACGGACACCAGACATTCAGGACTCTCCATGGACATCAGACATTCAGGACTCTCCACGGACACCAGACATTCACGACTCTCCATGGACATCAGACATTCAGGACTCTCCATGGACATCAGACATTCAGGACTCTCCACGGACACCAGACATTCAGGACTCTCCACGGACACCAGACATTCACGACTCTCCATGGACATCAGACATTCAGGACTCTCCATGGACATCAGACATTCAGGACTCTCCACGGACACCAGACATTCACGACTCTCCACGGACACCAGACATTCAGCATACTCAATGGCAACCAATCATTCAGAATACTCAAAGGATAACAGACTTTCAGGACTCTCCATGGCAACCAAACATTCATTTTCCCCTTAGACACTAATAATGCTGCTATTCTGAGGCAGGCAATTCTGGACAAGGCAAACCATTTGCTGGTGGCACAAGGTAAGTGAGTGAGCGAATATGGTTTTACATCGCTTTTAGCAATACTCCAGCTCTAAGGTCACACATTCCACTAAGTCATGCATTCCATTGTCATTCACCTGTAGTTGGCATCATTCTTCCAGAAAGGCCTAAAGAAAATGAGTGTAGTTCCCAATACTGATTATATGCAAGCTGAATCACAGCAGCCGATAATAAATCTGGGCCAAGAAATCCAGTGATTGACGTTATGATGACGCATGTTGTCAATGCACACGATTTGTTTGTTTGTTTTTTAATGCCGCACTCAGCAATATTCCAGCTATAGAGCATCATTCAACGCAATTAGAATATGACAACATGTGTCAACTAAGTCAGCGGGGCTGACCACCCGATCTCGTTAGTCGCCTTTTACAACAAGCATGGGTTGATGAAAACTAATGGGCAAGGTTGAACACTGCTAACACTGTGTTAGCCAACTCTTTCAAGAAGCATGAGCAACTGTCTGCAAGTGTGTATTGTACATCATCAGCCTGCAATACTTCCCTATGTATTCACCAGCCTTACCTGTGAGTTCTTCAGCTGGAGCCAGTACTGTAGCAAAGCCAAAGTCAGACAGCTTCACATTCAGATTGTCATCCAGTAGAATGTTCTCTGGCTGAAGAAGACAGTTGACATGCTATACATATGTGCGCCAGCATCAAAGAGCCCACTTGTTTAGCACATACACACTGGTATAATGTTAACTGTGACACAGTGATTACGAAACATCAGCATGTAGTTTTTGTTACTGAAATACCTGACTCTTCAGAGTGAGTGAGTGAGTTTAGTTTTAAGCTATATGGCAGCGGTCTGTAAATAATCGAGTCAGGACCAGACAATCCAGCGATCAACAGCATGAGCATCGATCTGCGTCATTGGGAACCTATGACATGTATGTCAACCAAGCATGTATGTCAGCGAGCCTGACCACCCGATCCCATTAGTCGCCTCTTACGACAAGCATGGGTTACTGAAGATCAATATTCTAACCCGGACCTTCACGGGTGACTCTTCAGGAGTTTACCTGCAATGTGTGTTAGCTGTCTCAGTGTAAAAGTTCATCCTTTTGACAATCTAACAGATATATAAATACACTGAAACATATCCATTTTTTGAAAGTTTTAAAATAATTTTGCCATTATCATTGTTTGAGCAGATATAATGGGAATGGGTGAGTGTTGCTGTATTCAACAGCAATATTTAAGCAATATGGTTGGGTTGTTGTTTAACGCAGCACTCAGCAATATTCCAGCTATATGTCTGTGGTCTGTAAATAATCAAATCAAGTCTGGACCAGACAATCTAGTGATCAACATCATGAGTATCGATCTACACAATGGGGATGATTATCAATCCAGTCTGTGAGCCTGACCGTCCGATCTCATTAGCAGCCTCTTATGACAAGCATGGGTTGCTGAAGACCAATTCTAACCCGGATCTTCACAGGTAGAGACAAGCATGGGTTGCTGAAGACCAATTCTAACCCGGATCTTCACTGGTTTGAGCTATATGGAGTGTGAGTGGGTTTGAACAGTACTTTGAACATTTTTCAAGCCATGTCAAGAAGAAAGCTTATCCTGATCAGGCAAACCAGTGGTTGCTATAATGAACCTGAAGCTACTTTGTAAGGCTACTACGAGACACAAGTAACCAGGTCACCTTTTCAAACAAGCACACATTACTCAGAGCCCATTTTTTCTCCAGAATTGAAAGTGAGTGAATTACACCGCTTCTAGACACAAGAAATAGGTATCAGGAGAGTAAGTGTACCTTTAGATCGCGGTGTACGATGTTCTTGGAGTGGACGTACTCTACCGCGTCGAGTAGCTGGGTCATGATGATCCTGTACACACAGAAACGCAGTGACAACAACTTAATGTTTAGTAGACAATAGCAATAAATCAACTGAAGGTATTTTTCATACTTGTATCAAAGAGAATACCATGTTCTTTGTTTTTAAAGTCTCTGCGTTAAATTTGGAAGGAAAGCCAGACAGTGACATGTGCTGACAACCAAGAAATCATAAATAGCACGATTCGAGGATCTGAAGCCAGAAGATCCTGGAAGGTCAAAGGGAAATAACTCTGCATTGCAATTTGCAGTGCTTTACATGAACATGATGGAGAAAGTGTTAACGAATTGCAGAACGTACCGTGTCCTCTTCTCTGACATTGACACAACCTCTGTGAGGTAGTCGAACAGCTCCCCCTTCTTACAACTGAAACAGATCACAACGATCAGATGACTTGAACACATGCCACACAGTTAATAGAAATTGATGTATTCACTAAGGATGTATTCACTAAGGGTGTATTTAACATTCTCAGATGTCTATTTTTAGCCTAGGTCTGGAAAACAAATTTCCAGATTAGGGACCGTTCATAATTAATGGCTGGCGTGGTGATGATGATTTTTGTGGAGAAGCATGTACAATGTGAATACACCCCCACCTCCCTAAATTTTATGTATAAAGTAAGTGGACCCCCCCTGCATGTACAAAATCATTGACCCTCCCCTTCCTATAATTCTGAAGAATATTTATTTCATATACCTATGTACAAAATTGCTGAACACCCCCTTCCCCAAAGTACATGTGTACAAAATGAGTGACCCCCTCCCCCAAACAAAATGGGTGACCCTAACCCCTTTAAAATACTCCTCCTCTTCCCCTCCCTCTGAATGGCCCCTTAGAACAACAATTTCCACATTCAATGTTTATAGTTAATACCAAGGGAAACCAATATTTCAGTATTGTACGGCTGACTTTAATTTTACTAATAACATGGGCTTCACACATTATACCCATGTGGGGAATCAACAAACTAGACTGAATACATATAATTTTGATAGTAACAAATAAACACATTTAAATTGAAAAGGAGCCCCAGTGATATGGGAGATTCAGAACCTGAGGAAATCTAGACTTGCTTCATTCAGGGCTTTAGCATTGCAGGGCGGGCTAGGCAGCAGGGAAATAATGTGGTTCAGGGACCGTGAGACAGACTAGGAATCAAACCCGTGCCTCTGGAGTGAGGAGTGAACCCACGGCTGCCCCACTGTCCCGTTCTACAAGTAACCTGACACCAGTTGCTCACGCTGCCAAAACCTTGTAACCCAGAGCACAATCTCGTAGTTTGCTGATCTGTGTTTTGTGTGTGTATCAGTAATGAAAACAAGTTACTTTCAACAAAGGAATGGCACTATCCTACTAATAACTGTACAAGAAGAACTGCCGCTCATTCCTGCAATGACAACATTCCACTCCAGTGCAAGTAGGGGATGTCAGGTACCGTAATGCCTCTACACAGCACATTCACTACTGACAGACTAACTTTAGTCTGTCTCACAGTCCCTGGACCACATTATTTTCCCTACTGTCTAGTCCGCCCTGCAATGCTAAAGCCCTAAACGAAGCAAGTCTAGATTTCCTCAGGTTCCCTTCTCACTGGGGCTCCTTTTCAATATATATGGGTTTATTTGTTACTATCAAAATAATATATATTAAGAGACTAAGCATTAGTCTAAGACTAACCTCAAATTGTTGAAATAAAAAGGTTTTTTAACATGGTTCAAGGGAATGCTGACATTCTCAAGGAGCCCTAAGATTCTCTTCATTTTCAGAAACGGTTGGCTGGCTGAGTATGGTTATACGCCGTTTTTAGCAATATTCCAGCAATATCACGGCAGGGGACACCTGAAATGGGCTTCACAAGTTGTACCCATGTGGGGAATCGAACCTGGGTCTTCGGCGTGACGAGCCAACACTTTAACCACTAGGCTACCCCACCACCCCTTTCAGAAACGGGAGAAATCTAGACATGCCAAGGAATTGCTGACAGCTGCAGAAATTCTGGACATGTGTCTTTCATGAGTGACTGCTTGTATGAAAGATGAAGTTATAGTGTTCTCCAGGACGAGTCACAATCCTAAACAGCAACTGCACATGTGCAGCTGCAGGGTAGTGATGACCCTGAAGCATACATGTGCAGCTGCTCCCGCCAAGCTCCGTCACCACTGATGGAATGATAAACTTTCCTCATACAATAGCTTCCTCCTGGCTCCAAGCCAAGATCACTCTGCTTTGTAGGCAGTAGTCCACTGACACACATGGAGGGGATTGTTACAGATTCCGTATCATGTGTCTACACGACCTTAACTTTAATTACTCAAATAGTCTACCTGGCATTCCTCAGATATCACCAATACCAGACGATTTATCGGCAATGACAGTGTAACATTTTGAAGGTCAGGGATGTTAAACTGCTATCAGAGTTACTGCACTGAAAGTGCCTACCTACAGGTTGGATTGGTGATTAATGGTACATGCACACCATGTACACAACAATCTGCACACAAATATCTATTTGATAAATAGCATATATACTGGGGATTTATCTAGGATTCAAACTAAGTGCCCTTGCTAGGCTAAGTGAGCTACATGCTAATGTCCTAAATGACCCAAGTGTCCTTGGCAGTCCAAGTGCCCTTTGCAGGCTTAGTGCCCCAAGTGTCCTTGGTAGTCTAAGTGTTCTTTGTAGGCTTCGTGCCCCAAGTGTCCTTGGTAGTCTAAGTGTCCATTGCAGGCTTCGTGCCCCAAGTGTCCTTGGCAGTCCAAGTGCCCTTTGCAGGCTTCGTGCTCCAAGTGTCCTTGGTAGCCTAAGTGTCCTTTGTAGGCTTAGTGCCCCAAGTGTTTGGTAGTCTAAGTGTCCATTGCAGGCTTCGTGCCCCAAGTGTCCTTGGCAGTCCAAGTGCCCTTTGCAGGCTTCGTGCTCCAAGTGTCCTTGGTAGCCTAAGTGTCCTTTGTAGGCTTAGTGCCCCAAGTGTCCTTGGTAGTCTAAGTGTCCTTTGCAGGCTTAGTGCCCCAAGTGTCCTTGGCAGTCCAAGTGCCCTTTGCAGGCTTTGTGCCCCAAGTGTCCTTGGTAGTCTAAGTGTCCTTTGTAGGCTTAGTGCCCCAAGTGTCCTCGGTAGTCTAAGTGTCCTTTGCAGGCTTCGTGCCCCAAGTGTCCTTGGCAGTCCAAGAACCCTTTGCAGGCTTTGTGCCCCAAGTGTCCTTGGTAGTCTAAGTGTCCATTGCAGGCTTCGTGCCCCAAGTGTCCTTGGCAGTCCAAATGCCCTTTGCAGGCTTCGTGCCCCAAGTGTCCTTGGTAGTCTAAGTGTCCTTTGTAGGCTTAGTGCCCTTGGTAGTCTAAGTGCCCTTTGCAGGCTTAGTGCCCCAAGTGTCCTTGGTAGTCTAAGTGTCCTTTGCAGGCTTTGTGCCCCAAGTGTCCTTGGTAGTCTAAGTGCCCTTTGCAGGCCTAGTGCCCCAAGTGTCCTTGGTAGTCTAAGTGTCCTTTGCAGGCTGCGTGTACCCAAGTGTCCTTGGTACTCTAAATGTCCTTTGCAGGCTTCGTGCCCCAAGTGTCCTTGGTAGTCTAAGTGTCCTTTGCAGGCTTAGTGCCCCAATTGTCCTTGGTAGTCTAAGTGTTCTTTGTAGGCTTAGTGCCCAAGTGTCCTTGGTAGTCTAAGTGTCCTTTGCAGGCTTAGTGCCCCAAGTGTCCTTGGTAGTCTAAGTGTCCTTTGTAGGCTTAGTGCCCCAAGTGTCCTTGGTAGTCTAAGTGTCCTTTGCAGGCTTAGTGCCCCAAGTGTCCTTGGTAGTCTAAGTGTCCTTTGCAGGCTTCGTGCCCCAAGTGTCCTTAGTAGTCTAAGTGCCCTTTGCAGGCTTCGTGCCCCAAGTGTCCTTGGTAGTCTAAGTGTCCTTTGTAGGCTTCATGCCCCAAGTGTCCTTGGTAGTCTAAGTGCCCTTTGCAGGCTTCGTGCCCCAAGTGTCCTTGGTAGTCTAAGTGTCCTTTGCAGGCTTAGTGCCCCAAGTGTCCTTGGTAGTCTAAGTGTTCTTTGTAGGCTTAGTGCCCCAATTGTCCTTGGTAGTCTAAGTGTCCTTTGTAGGCTTAGTGCCCCAAGTGTCCTCGGTAGTCTAAGTGTCCTTTGCAGGCTTCGTGCCCCAAGTGTCCTTGGTAGTCTAAGTGCCCTTTGCAGGCTTAGTGCCCCAAGTGTCCTTGGTAGCCTAAGTGCCCTTTGCAGGCTTAGTGCCCCAAGTGCCCTTGGTAGGCTAAAAGTCCTAAGTGACCTGTATGCCCTATGTAGGCTGATTATCCCAAGTGTCCTGCTGGTTAAAATTACTGTATATTCCCGTGTATAAGGGACCCCTTGTAGAAACCTTCCAAATCAATGCTGATTTATATACCATCTTTAACGCGACCCTGAACGAAATGCATCATCAAAACAATCACAATCCTCATATATGTAATAAAAACATGCTTGTATCCCAATATTTTCTTGTAAGATTCTTGCCCGCTTTGACTGACTGACTGAGTTTAGTTTTACGCCGCTTTTAGCAATATTCCAGCAACATCACGGCTGGGGACACCTGAAATGGGCTTCACACATTGTACCCATGTGGGGATTCGAACCCGGGTCTTCAGCATGACGAGCCAACGCTTTAACCACTAGGCTACCCCACCGCCCTTGCCCACTTTGAAGTCCAGCTCATGGCACCGGTGCAACACCAAATTGTAACAGTAAAGAAATGTTCACTTAACTATTGAAGCAAGTCATAATAGACAGTCTATTTCCTGTAATTAATCACCCAATTATCTATGTTTCAATCTAATAGTTGTGTTTCACAAACAATGAAAAGGTTATATACCAAACCATTTCTTGGAACAGTAATTGCAATGTGAAGTTGGACTGTCAACTGTATTAGTGGGTGTCCAGTGCTAGTGGACATTGCAAGTCGAAACAAAACGTAAGATCTTCGATCCCATGCATTAGGCAGTCCCCCTTCAAAACCCTCTAATACTTTCTAGGTATGAGTGTGTGTGAGTGAGTTTGATTTTACGCCGCTTTTAGCAATATTCCAGCAACATCACGGCAGGGGACACCAGAAATGGGCTTCACACAATGTACCCATGTTGGGATTCGAACCCGGGTCTTTGGCGTGACAAGCCAATGCTTTAACCACTAGACTACCCCACCGCCCCCTTTCTAGGTATGAAAAACTCCTTATATGTGGTGGTATAGGGTAATGGTTTTTGGTATTTTGTTTAGTGGACTAGCAGATTTTCACAGACTAATGTATGAATCTTTGTCTACATGAGTTGTCTGTAACAGTTTCATATTTGAAGAAATACCATCAACACCAGAAAATAGTCAGCTTCGATCATTTGATTAAACTGATTTTATCAGGTGCAAAAGCAAAGTTGAGGTTACTGAATCACTGACAACACCTGGTATGAGCATACAATTTCTTCTTGAAATTCTAGTTATTATAAGAATAACTATAGATTTAGCCTTTTAAAATACGCTTTTTCTCTCTGTTTGCCTGACAGAAAATAAGCGTAAAATCCTACCCCAAACAGTGATACCCACTGGTAGAAACAAACTGATGATTGATACTTACAGTTCAAACACCAGGAAGATAAATGTAGGTGTCTCGAACACATCATGGAGCTCAACTGAAACAAGAGAAAAACCACATTTACAAGGGCGCGATGGGGGGGAACCATGTGTCAATAGTGTGTGCAGTATGAGAGACAATGATATTTCTGATACCTGGGTGTCTGTGAGCATAACAAACTTACTTATCTCATGATTTCTGCAAGTCTGACTTTAAACTTACTAACATATGGGTGTGACAATGGCCTTACTGATATGTGGGTGTCCATTAATGAGACCTTGAACTTACTAATATGTGGGTGTCTATTAATACGACCTTGAACTTACTGATATGTGGGTGTCTATTAATAAGACCTTGAACTTACTAATATATGGGTGTCTGTTAATAAGACCTTGAACTTTCTGATATGTGGGTGTCTGTTAATACGACCTTGAACTTACTAATATGTTGGTGTCTGTTAATATGACCTTGAACTTACTGATATGTGGGTGTCCGTTAATATGACCTTGAACTTACTGATATGTGGGTGTCTGTTAATATGACCTTGAACTTACTGATATGTGAGTGTCTGTTAATATGACCTTGAACTTACTGATATGTGAGTGTCCATTAATATGACCTTGAACTTACTAATATGTGAGTGTCTGTTAATATGAGCTTGAACTTACTAATATGTGAGTGTCCGTTAATATGACCTTGAACTTACTGATATGAGTGTCCGTTAATATGACCTTGAACTTACTAATATGTGAGTGTCCGTTAATATGACCTTGAACTTACTGATATGTGAGTGTCCGTTAATATGACCTTGAACTTACTAATATGTGAGTGTCTGTTAATATGACCTTGAACTTACTGATATGTGGGTGTCTGTTAATATGACCTTGAACTTACTGAAAAATGAGCGTCCAATAATATGACCTGGAACTTACTGATATTAGAGTGTCCGTTGATATGACCTTGAACTTACTAATATGTGGTTGTCTGCTATTGTGACCTTGAACTATGTCTGTAAATATGATCATGAACTTACTGATATGTGCATATCCCTGACTTTTACAATGAACTTTGGAAGATGTGTGCATCTGTTGACTTCAACAATGAACCTACTGATATGTGGGTGTCCGGGCACACATGCGCAGGATGTTGATCTCCCGAGAGGTGTCGCGTCTCAGCTGTTCCACCTGGTGTTCCTCCCCCTTCTCCCCGCTGATGTCGATGATCTTGACAGCGTACTCTGTCCCTGATGCCTTCTCCACACATCGTCTCACTGTGCTCGACACACCCCTGGAGAAATACAAATAAACAGTCAACTAGTGACTTCATGTTTTGTGATAACCCAATAAACCTTCTTCCAGGGATTTCATGGTCTGTTGGGGCGGTGGGGTAGCCTAGTGGTTAAAGCGTTGGCTCGTCACGCCGAAGAACCGGGTTCAAATCCCAACATGGGTAAAATGTGTGAAACCCATTTCTGGTGTCCCCCACCCCGATGTTGCTGGAATATTGCTAAAAGCGGCGTAAAACCAAAACTCAGTCAGTCAGTCATGGTCTGTTAGTACTGTACCCGTGACAATCCAAGACTGGAATCAGAGATGGTACCTACATGTGGTAGCTAAACCAAGGTTTTGTATGTGAAAAAGCAAACATTGACAACTGAACTATCACACTACAACCATGTTGCCATGGAAACCTAGTACATAACTGCCATCCATGGCAAAAACCCCTTGAGAACTATAATGTCAGACCCGATTTTAGCACATTGAAAATTAGAGATTGGAAACTCAGCACATGTCCCTAAAATAATATTTGTATCAATGCAACATGAAACAGAAAAGTTGTTTTTATTTCATTTTGAATATGCATTCTTTGGACACTTTTTACTCTTAAAGTATTGCTTTGGTTAGCCAGAAACATATGGGCCAACAGGCTCCCTAGAAAAGCATTAAGGGATTAAGGTACTTTAAGGTGTGTACCACAAGGAATTTCCTTGGGATGTGGTAATACATGACTTCATTTCTGTGTTTTTAAATAAGAGGACTATTATCTATAATCTAGACTGCTAAATTAGTTGAAATCAACCTGCTAGCTTGAGGTCAACTGACATTTTTTGAAGGATAATTAAATTTGGCCAACAGAAATGCCTCGGATGGTCAAACAAAAACAGCAACATTGCATCTGTGAGTCATGAAGCAGTCATAAAATCAGCATTATTTAAGTCAAGCAAACATTGATTAAACTGAATCACCTGCACTGGCCAAGAAGGTGAGGTGAGGTGAAATTGGGTTTTACGTCGTGCTTGAGAATATTTCGCTCATATGACGACGTGCATGCATGTGTATGTGTATGTGTGGCTGCTTGTACTAGCCCAGACTTAAGCTGGTTTTATAGTGCTAGCCCACTGAGATACCATGCCGCAGTGAAGCATGAATACCCCACTCAGACACATTATACTGACTCCGAGCCGACCAGTCCTTGTTGTACCCATTAATGCCGAGCGCCAGGCAGGGACCAACAAGTACCATATTTTAACGTCTTTTGGTATGACGCGGCCAGGGATCGAACCCGCAACCTTCCGCTCTCCGGGCGGACGCTCTAACCACTACACCACGGAGGCGGTTAACAGCAAAAAAACTACTGCACATCATACATTCAAATAATACTTTCCTAATTTTTTTCATACCACACAATATATTCTTATGCCTCTACGTATCAGTTTATATGTTATAAATATAAGTATAATCAACACAACACACTATTTACTCGGTCATACAGACCCTGAAACAAATATATCCAAGAAAGTCCATGCAAGTCTAGAATTTGTGGCAAGTAGATTTCCAGTTTCAGGGCTCCTTTTCATTATATTTTAGAAGGTGGCAGGGAAAGATGATGATTATAAGGTGGGTAACCTATATTGTTCTGGGGGGTTATGGGTGGGGGTGGGGGTGTCAGCAATTTTGTACATAAAAGGGTCACATACTCTGTACATAAATTTTGGGGGTGTCATTCACATTATACATGGTTCTCCATAAAAATCATCATCAACCACCCCACCTAGCCATAAATTATGAACGGTCCCTTAACTATGAAAAAGACTGACTGAGTTTGGTTTTACGCCGCTTTTAGCAATATTCCATCAACATCACGGCGGGGGACACCAGAAATGGGCTTCACACATGGGCTTGTACCCATGTGGGGATTCGAACCCGGGTCTTCGGTGTGACGAGCCAACGCTTTAACCATTAGGCTACCCCACCGCCCCAACTATGAAAAAGAGTTCCATAAAGCCCTAAATAGAGATAGGCAGAAAGGAAGCTTTCTGTCATCAGAAACAAAATATTAAATCTGAAAGACATATATAAGTCACTTTCTCTGAAAGAATATGAATGTCAACAAGTTGGCAAAGTTTCATTTACACAGCTTCAGTAGTCCCTAAGTAAATTTGTCCCCAGTTTTCATTGCGGAGACCAAGCACTCAGTAGGACAGTAATGTTTTCAACAAATAGGTAAGAAGAACGATTTGAACTCAGTCTTGTCCAATATCTCTTAGATCAGCATGTAAACTTTCAGTCTAGTAACTTCAGTAGTCTCTGAGAAAACCCGTCCTCATTACATCCAATATGAACTAAGTTGCAAACCATGGATCAAGGGTGATAACTCTGTATCTTTTGTTTGTAAATGTTTGTAACTATATCCCACACCCAACTTTGTAATGGGAGATAACAATATTTGACAATGAGCACATGAGGCGATATCAAGTGCTGTGTCACGTGACCCACAGTAGCATTACACAACACTGATGCATAAACAAGCCCTCCGAGTTGCATACATTAACCAAGTTCTCTCCTGCCCCATAAACACACTTTCATCTCCACCAGGTTCTAAATCCTCTCTGGCTGGATTGCTGGCAAGTTTTCACGTACTTCAGATTTTTTCTAACAAATCTAGCTCTTGGTTCAGGTGTACCTCATGGTAGACTAATGTATAGTATTTAAATATATTTAGAGAAATTTTATAGAAATGAATAATTCCATTTAAAGTGAAAAAAGCTCCTGCGAGATGTGAGATTCTGGAGAAAAGTGTAGAAAGGTTGGGCAGGAGGGACAATGATGTGGTTGAGGAACTGGAGACAGGCTCTTACAGTACAGAGATAGGAGGAGTCAGTCCTCCAGATTGATCCACCAGCTGGTGGAGGTGTGTTTAGTCTCTGTCTAGGAGTGCAGCAGATGCTGTGTTGTCAGCACTAAACAACCCTGTTGTACTTGTTGCAAGGCTTATACTCCCGTCCTATCCAACCAAGTCACCGGGATCCTCATATATGTTTCTGATAGCCAAAGCAAATACAGGGACTGCGCTCAGCAATATTCCAGCTATATGGCAGTGGTCTGTAAATAATCAAGTCTCGACCAGACAATCTAGTGATCAACAGCATGAACATCGATTTACACAGTTATGATACAATGACATGTGTCAACCAAGTCAGCAATCCTGACCACCCAATCCTGTTAGTTAGCCTCTTACGACAAGCATGGGTTACTGAAGATCAATTCTAATCCGGATCTTCACGGGCCGATGATGATGATGATGGACACTGGTAGTGCCAGCTCACCTATTGATGCTCACTGCACTACGGTATTATCCCTTTAATGGATCAATGTTCACTTGAAATTTATTTACAGCTCCTCAGGCTGTTTTCAAGCTATTCCTACCAGGTACCCATTCACTGCCAGGTGAGCAGACCTACATAAAACTGGGAGTGCCAATAAACTTGACCACTCCTTTAATTAGGTCTCCTGATACGTAAAGCATCAGTAGGTAGCTAAGGACCTAATCTGACCCGGAATCCTTAAACTTTAGTGCACTGATATGATTAAACAGGCTATGACACTCTCAAGAGGTACCATAGATATGATACACATAAATCAATTGATTACTAAACATTTGGTCGAAGTTTGTTTGTTTTTTATATCAAAAAGGAATAAATTAAATTTTTAATTTCTTTTGTAATAACGGTAAAAAGACCTTTTACAGCTGTCAACATGGTTCACAAACAGATGCTTCTGGTGTCCCCCGCCGTGACATTGATGGAATATTGCTAAACGCAGCGTAAACCCATACTCACTCACTCACCTCATTCACTCAACCACTCACTCACCCATCCACCTCACTCACTCACTCACCCACCTCACTCACTCACCTCATTCACTCAACCACTCACTCACCCACCCACCCACCTCACTCACTCACTCACCCACCTCACTCACTCACAGACAGACACTTGGTAGGGCTTTGCATATTGTGTATTTCATCAGGTACAGAATACAAAACAAGGAACCACCTAAAATTATTGTTATTGTGTAGGATGTGAGGCTGGTCATTTGGCAGGGAGATGACAGGAATGAGAATCTTCCAATTGATTTATTACTGCCTAGCTGAGGCAGTAAGCAGGCCAGGTATCAGTGACACTGGATCAATCTGTATTCTGATCAGCCTACAGCTCCTACCCAAACACAGGAACTAGGACAGTCAACCTGGCACTAACTGAAATTTTGTCCACAGTTATGTCAAGCAATATTCCATGTTATCAGCCCTGTGAGCATCACACTATGGAGATAACTGACTTTAATCAAGTCCATTGAGGCCAGCAGAACATAGAACCAAACACAAACTATCAACAAACTTGACCGAATTTCACCAGATGGCTTGACCTAGATATTTAACCGACTTTCCTCTGGCTGTGCACATAACTCCCAACAGTAGTTTATTGTGAGCAGCTGGGGTCGAGTGAGAACATTGTACTAGGACGCCATTCACACTGGAGACTATTTCTACCCACCAGAATGTGATATTAAACCAGGGTCCACTTTAGATTCATGTAATAGTATTCATGTGTTTACTGAGGCACTTCCTGGGTCTAAGTTATAATGCACACTCTTAGCATTTTTGTTGTTTTTCTTTGTCGTTAAATGACGGTTTTAGGGTTTGTCATCCTAAAAAAAAGTTTTTTTCCTTCATTGTTATGATGTTTGTTGTTTTGTTGTTTAATGCCGCACTCAGCAATATTCTAACTATATGGTGGCGGTCTGTAAACAATCGAGTCTGGACCAGACAACAGACAACCAGAGATCAACAGCATGAGCATTGATATACGCAACTAGGATATGATGACTTGCGTCAACTAAGTCAGCGAGTCTGAACACCCGATCCTATTAATGGCCTCTTACAACAAGTATGGGTTACTGAAGATCAATTCTAGCCCGGATCTTCATGGATTACACACTCTTCGCAAA